CGAACCCGTGTCCCCTGCATCGGCAGGCGGACTCTCAACCACTGCGCCACCAGGGAAGCCCTACTCTCCTTTTTTATCTCCTTGCTTTCTCTATCTTCTTTATCTAATCATGTACTCCAGCTAGTTTTTCTAAAATACAGAACTACCTGTATCATGTCATCTTACTTGATAAGTGATCTTAAAATGTCTCTCTGTTGCCTGTTCTCTGTTCAACAATTAGAACTGGGTCCAAAATTTCTAAGGCCTTTCATTAGCTGGCCTTTTCTATTCATTAGGGCTTTTCTTTCATTTTTTGCTTGTATGAAAGAGTGCCAGGCTACTTTTGTCACTGGTACTCTAAGTTTTTGTTTTATGCCTTTGATAATGTTGTTCCCCTGTTTTGAATAGCTTTTCCTCTTTGTCTCTTTCTGCCCACGGCCTACCAGTCCTTACCAATCGAATAATTTATGATCCCACCTCTTTTCTGATTCTCAATAACATAAGCTAATGTCAGTTTTTTAAATCTTATTTCCTAAGCCGCATATTTCAGCCCCTGATTAGAGCCAATTTCTGTTATTTATTTTTGTCTTTTATTATCTTAGTCCTATTTTTTTATGTAAGTTTAGGCTTCCTAAAATTATGACAAATTTATTTTTTTTAACAAAGAACCATATAGGGACTTCCCTGGTGGGCCAGTGGTTAAGACTGCGCTTCCACTGCTGGGGGCACTGGTTCCATCCCTGGTCAGGGAACTAAGATCCTGCATGCCTCGCCACATGGCCCCAAAAAAAAAAAAAAAAAAAAAAAAAAAAGGGAGCACATGTTATTATTCTACTTGCTCAAGATCTTCACCTTAGGGCAAGACATAGATGTTAAATACCGTAATTAAGAACAGAAGTAAATCATTATACCACATTCATGAGACTCTTATTTCTTTATTTTTTAGATTTTAAAGAACTCTTTCTTTGAATTCATGGTGTTTCATCCTACATACGACTGAGATACCAGTAAGTAAAGACTGTCCAATAAAGATACAGCTTTATTATACTACAAGCAATTGTAATAAAAATCTTTTCATCTATTGAAATCTGGGTCTGTCTGCAAAAAAGTTTTAACATGAACTCATTCACTTCTACCTGCAAGAAACTTTGTATTTTCACTTCATACTCTAAATAAAGAAAGTGGGGGATAAGGTAGATTTGAGTAGGAAAAGTTTCTCTTAGGCCATTAATATAATTGTGGTACAGGGAGATTCAAGTCCTATCCAAAACTGTACTTGTAAATATTTTTCATTTTTCATCAGATAGAGAATTAGTATCTTTATATATCATACCTTACAAATAGGAACACACCAAGTCAATATATTTTTAAAAATTAATTAATTAATTAATTTGACTGCGTCAGGTCTTAGTTGCAGCACACAGGATCTTTGTTTTGGTGTGTGGGCGGGCGCAGGCTTCTCTAGTTGCAGTGCGCGGGCTCCAGAGTGCACAGGCTTCTCTCTAGTTGTGGCACGTGGGCTCATTAGTTAGCGGCACGCAGGCTTAGTTGCCCTGTGGCATGTGGGATGTTAGTTCCCCGACCAGGGATCAAACCTGCGTTCCTTGCATTGGAAGGCGGATTCTTAACCACTGGACCACCAGGCAAGTCCCTAAGTCAATATATTTTTAATTATAACTTCTTTGTTTCAGTAACTATATGTTAAACAACCACTACGTGTAAGACATGTGCTAAAATAGTAAGGATACAAAAATAGATCAAACCTAGTCCTGCATTCAGAGAGTTCCCCCAAGCCAGAGGAAATACATGTAAATAGGTAGCTGTTAATGGTGTGGTAACAGCATTAAGCTCATTTAATACCAGCCATCTTCATTTATTCATTTAAGAAGCATTTACTGACCACCACTATGTGTTAGGCACCGTGGGGTGTTGGAATATAACTATGATCAAAATAGACCAAGTCTCTACTTTCATGGAGTCATTATTCTGGTGTGGAGGTTAAGAGGAGAGAAGGGGGGGCTTCCCTGGTGGCGCAGTGGTTGAGAGTCCGCCTGCCGTTGCAGGGGACACGGGTTCGTGCCCCGGTCCGGGAAGATCCCACATGCTGCGGAGCGGCTGGGCCTGTGAGCCATGGCCGCTGAGGCTGCGCGTCCGTAGCCTGTGCTCTGCAATGGGTGAGGCCACAACAGTGGGAGGCCCGCGTACCGCAAAAAAAAAAAAAAAAAAAAAAAAAAAAAAAAAGAGGAGAGAAGGGGATGGACAAAGTGAGTAAGTAAATAAGCAGCAAGTGCAGGTGGGCACTAAGTATTTTGAGGAAAATACACGTTATAGAATGTAACTGAGGTGGGGATGGACTTTAGGGTGGTCAGAAAATGTTTCTGAGAGAATAAACTTGAGGCAGGGAAAATAATAGCTCAAACTAGTTAGAGATCTTGGTGACAGTGGAGATAGAAAGAAATACTTGAGAAATTATTATACTTGAGAAATACAATAGAAGTAAAAATGCAGGACTTATTGATGGATACCTTAAGGTGGGATGTGAGCAACAAGTTAAGGAAGGAATCAAGGATGATGCCATCAGAGGCCAGATGGTCTTAACGCTGTGGGATTGGGTAAGATTGCCTAGAGAGGAAAGAGAAAAGAAAGTCCTGCT